TGGTGTGGCCTCAGAGCCATGGGCGGGTTCTGGGGCACAGCTGAGAGGGCCCTGCAGAGGAGCTGTGGGTAGTGTGGTCTGACAGCCCTGGCGGGTCAGGCTGGGAGGGGCCTTTCCTTGTGATGGTGGTTCTCTGTCTACCTGCTGATCTAATTGTGACTCAGAACTGAGTAACTGATCCTTGTCTGGCACCCCTGCATGCTTGGTGACGGCAGGCGGGTGCTCTGTGTCTCCAAGTTGACACATATACTTGCGGCAGAAGCTGCAGGCCCCTGGCACTGCCGGGGACTTGAGAGGTGAAAGCGAGCACTGTCCAACTAGCTTGAGACCACCCACGGGACAGGTAATTTCATCCCCTGGGCCTCCGCTAATCACCTATAAAATAATAAAGACGCGGGTTTTACTTTGGGGACGCTCCAGCCCCGAAGTTCTCCCGCCCTGAGGCCCAGCTCCCCAGAGTGGGGCTGTACTCTGGGCAGAGTTCCTGAAAGCGGCTGGTGTCTGGTCTCTTCTCCAGTGACCTCAGAGAAACTAGCGTGTTTCAGGAGCTGAATGCACAGGAAGGTTCTCCCCTGCCCAGACCTCAGGCTTCCGTGGAGGGGCTGGTTACCATGTTCCAGCTATCAGTGGTTGCTATCAGTGTTTTCTGCTGCTGCAGGGCATCCACAAATGTGGGTGCTCAAAGACCTGGGTGTTTTCCTCTTATGGCTCTGGGCGTCAGCAGCCTGAAACAGGTCTTGCGGTCCCACTGTGGGTCTTGGGGTCCCACCATAGGTCTCGGGGTCCCACAAACCCTAGTCAGGGAGGCAGGGCTGCGCTCCCCTGAGGCCGTTTCCTCACTCCTACGGGCTACTGGCAGGATTCGTCCTTGTGATTGGAGGACTGTGGTCTCGTGGCATCGCCGTGTGCCAGCTGAGGCCCTTCCAGAGGCCACTGGATGCCTGACTCAGGGAGCCCTCCCTGCCCTGAGAGTCAGCCTGGCGACTTGCGTCCAGGCCACCCTTGAACTCTCCGCCGTCTCCTGGGCCGGGTCTCCCTGACAGCCTCCATGCTTTCCCTCCTCCCGCAAGCCCTGGGATGCAGGGTCGCAATTCCAGGTGGCCCCACAGCCTCCACCTCACCTAGAGCCACTATCGGGGTGGCTGCCTGGCTCACAGTTTCCTGGAATTGAGACGGGGGCCTTCAGGGACGAGGGAGAGCACTATTCATGATTCCGCCACTGTATGATTTAGTTCCCCTCCTCAGCCCTTTGCTTCCTCTTGTCAGGGGAGGCAGAGATGAACTTGATCTTACCACATTGCCAGGAGGTTCAACCGCAACGTCTGGGTCCACAGCACCTGCGTGACAAGTAGCCGATGTTTGCGCTCCACGTGGCCATGCACCCGGAAGCAGGGATGGCCTCAGACTGGGACTGCAGGCGGGGGGAGGTTGTCATCACCTGGCCCTTGTAGAAGCAGCTTCTGAATATGTCACCAGAACCAACAGTTTCTCTTGCAGCCGTTGGAAGGGGCATGCTTGGCCTAGCTGGAGGTGCCTGGTCCCTGGCCAGGCCCCACTAACCCGGTGGCTCTGTGTCCTGGGACCCACAAGGGCAGCCCCTGGGAGCTGACTGGAAAGGCGCATTCTGGGCCTTACACTGGTCCCGCTGAATTAAGGCCTCTGGGGGGGTCTGTCTGTGTAAGGCCCCCGTGAGCCTCCGTGCTCCACAGAATTTGCGAACCAGCCCTGGCCTCTTCTGTTTCCTTCCTTGTCTTCCTGGTACTAGCGAGTGTCCACCCCACGAGAGCTGAGATTATGGGGGGCCTCGCCCTGTCCAGTGGCCACTGTGTCCCAGGTCCCAGCAGACACCTGCCCAGGGCAGGCCATCTGCCATCCGCTGTTGCAAGACCCCACTGGGAGGCAGGGAGCATCCTTCGTGTTCGCACATCTGCCCCCGGCAAATTCCTTGAATGTTACATCATTAGATAAGCATTAACGTGCTAAGTGCTTTATGTTCAAATTTCTTTCATTTTTTTTTCTTTCGTGTCAGTGTTTTGCCCTGTCACCTAGGCTGGAGTGCAGTGGCACAGTCCTGGCTCACAGCCTCTACCTCCTGGTCTCACATGATCCTCCCATCTCAGCCTCCAGAGTAGTTGGAACTACAGGTGTTGCCACCACACCCAGGTAATTTTTTAATTTTTTGTAGAGATGAGGTCTTACTCTGTTGCCCCCGGCTGATCTTGAACTCCTGGCCTCAAGTGAATCTCCCGCCTTGGCCTCCCAAAGTGCTGGGATTATAGTCGTGCGCCACTGCACCCTACCTAGATTGTGTGTGTGTGTGTGTGTGTGTGTGTGTGTGTGTGTGTGTGT